ATAAAATAATAAATCAGCCTTCTGAAACATGGAGTCAAGATTCTCTTCCCATGTTGGGGTTGCCTGCAAATTCCCACAACTGGTGACCCTGAGTCAGGAAAATTCCACACTGGGTGAGCCCTGAGCGAGGAACATTTCCACAACATGCAGATTTGGTTTGTCCAAATGTGAGTCGATTTTAGGTGGTTTTGGAGGAGCCCATGTTTGGAGGGTGTTGTGGGGCTCCTTGAGGAACATCTCAGCCACCTTGCAGGCAGACCTCAGTTGAGGAGTTGGGAGGGGAGAGCCCAAATCAGACAGCAAATCAGACCCTATATCAGACAGCAAACTGGTACAAACTGGACTGGAGACACCGCAGAGCCTCCACCACCCCCAGCCCTCCTCCCTTTGGGGGAAGACCCCACGTTCCAAAGAGCAGCTTACGAGGGGGAAGCGACCAGCACCTGGCCCATCGAAGGCGTTGTTGAGTCCATCGTTGTGGTCGCCGTGGAAGAAGGTGAGGCGGATGTCGGCGGGGCCCTCGTGTGCCTCCCAGAAGAGCAGGGAGGACACGTTGCTCCAGAGCTGGAAGGCGGCGCGCACGGCCAGGCGCACGCCGTGCTGCGGCAGGTACGGCGGCCGGTTCACCACGCGGTACGTCAGCTGCCGCTTCGGCCACCGCCCTCCTGTGTGGGGACAAGGCCACCCCCGTGGCAGGGAGAAAGGGTGAGCAGGGCCCCATCTGTCCCACATTGCTTCCTTGAAAGGGTGCCAGGGTTTGGGTGTGTTGGTGCCAGGGGTTTGGGGTATGTTTGTGCTGAGGGTTTGGGTGTGTTGGTGCTGGGGGTTTGGGTTTGTTGATGGGGGGTTGGTGCTGGGGGTTTGGGGATGTTTGTGCTGAGGGTTTGGGTGTGTTGATGCTGGGGTTTGGGCGTGTTTGTGCTGGGGTTTGGGGTATGTTGGTGCCAGGGGTTTGGATATGTTGGTGCTGGGGATTTGGGATGTGTTGGTGCCAGGGGTTTGGGTGTGCTGGTGCTGGGAGGTTGGGGATGTTGGTGCCAGGGTTCGGGTATGTTTGGGGGGTTGGTGTTGGGGCTGTGGGGATGTTTGTGCTGGGGATTTGACCTGAGCCAGGATTTTAGGTATGTTGGTGCTGGGGGTTTAGGTATGTCTGTGCCAGGCTTTGGGTGTGTTTGTGCTGGGGTTTGGGTTTGTTTGTGCCAGGGTTTGTGCTGGGGTTTGGGGTGTGTTTGTGCTGGGGGTTTGACCCAAGCCCCGGCACAAACATCAGGGACAGAGCCCTGATGCTACAAGGACAACTCGGAACAAGGATGAAGGGGACAAGTGATGTGACTGCCCCTAAGCTCTCCAACCTCCCTACCACACAGGAGGGAAAAGATGACAGCTCACAGCTGCTGAGCAGCATTGCAGCCCCTTCCTCCTCGTCCTCCCTTGTTGGGGAAGATATAACAGGAAAGCCTTATCAATATGATTGTCTGGCAAAAGATTTTGAGAATATGGAAACTATAAGCGAGATTGAAATGAAAGCAAGCTTTGAGATCCCTCAGTTACTGAACAATGGGAAAACAATGGTGTGGCTGACTGAAGGTAATCCCCTTTTGATGAAACAACACCCTCTGCTTGCAGACAGGCCCAAGGGTCAGAGCAGACCCTGCCAGCTTGGCAGAAGGGGCCCAAAGAAGAGTTTTTAGGGTTTAAAATATAACACAGTGTGGTAATGTAATGATTCTTACAGGCTGTATGTAAACGCTATAGGATTTGTATGTTGTAATAGATTGGTTAGTGAGAAGGAGAATATTCAACACAGAAGAATATTTATTGTATTGTAATGGGAACTTCACTCTCTTAGCTCTGACTCTTACCCCTCTTACCCCTTTTGCTCTCTTACCCTCTCATCCTGTCTACCCCTCTCTTCTCTCAGTCCTGCTCTGAGCTGTGTTTGGCAGCTCCCAGCAGGGCCCTGCACTTGGCCCTTTGCAATAAACCACAAGTTCCATGACCTGGCTGCAGAGATCTCTGCTCTCTGTCCATCTCAACTGTGCTACCCCCCGAAGCTCCTACACTCCTCCTCCTCCAGCACCCTCAGCAGCTGTGGGACCCCAGAGCCCTGGGGTTACATTTATCTGGAGGCATCTGGGAGCAGGAAAAAGGCGTGGGGCCCTGGGGGGATGTGGGTGCCAGAGCTGGTGCTGAGGCGTGGGAGTGGGGACAGGCTCCAGCCTCTGCCTCTGCTCCAGATGTGCAGGGAAACAGGAGGAACACAGCTGGCAGCACACCAGGGCTCACTGCTCTGCCTCTGGGCTGAGGCGAACAACAAAGCTGGCACACATCCACCCCAGCTCTGCCTGCTTCTCCCCATGGCTGGGGACACTCTGGGCTAGCTGGTCACACTCCTGGGGACAGAATCAGTTCTCACTCCAGCTCCAAGGGACACAGATGAGCTCTCACTCTGCACAGCAAAAGCAGCCCTAAAACAAAGCCTGGCATCCCATCCTTCTCTCCACAGGGGCAGAGCATCCACCACCAGAGGAGGATGGGCAGGGCTGGCTTAGCAAGGCTGGCTCTGGGGAAGAGGAGAGCTTGGCTTTGCCCCGTGCTGGGCTCTGGGTATGCCCCAAGCCAGCAGGATGAGGGGCACAGGGGAGATCCTGCTGGGACAGGGGGAATAACAAAGCACTGAGCTGGCTCAGCTGCCAGGGGTTCCTGCTCCAAGCAGGATAAACAGCACAAAGCCTCACCCAGCCTTCCTCCAGCCCTGCAGGCACCCCCTGTTCCCATCCAGCCCGTGGGTACAGATGTGGTGCTGTCCCATCCCCACTGCCTGTGACATCAGATCACCAGAGCAATAACCACACTGAGCCCTTTCCTGCCCTTTCCTTGAGCCACTGGGCATCTCCTGCCACCCACCCACTTTTTTGATGCCCAGAAAGGAGCCCCATGAGCCACAGGGCACTGGCTGCTCCTGTTTGCCCACCTCCTGCTCTGCGCCCTTCCTGCTCTGCTCACTGCCCACATGCCCTGGGCACAGGATGGCTCCCGCAAGGGACACAAGCTGGGGCTTTGGGAGGAAATCCAGAGGCTGGAGGAGGATGGCAGGGCTCTCCTGGGGCTGTGCATGGCCAGCCCTGCCAATGCACACACAGCCTGACACGGCACAGAGCCTGTTCTTAATCTCCCTTTGGTTTTTCCCATGTCCAGAGCACAGCTGGCCCCGGCCCTCCTGCTCTCTAGGAATCCAGTTACTCATCTGCAAGCCCAAAGAGAGCTCACAGGGGACAAGAGGCCCAGCCCTGGACACACAGAAGGATGCTTGGAGCAGAGTTAAACCCCTTAACATGGGTGAAATGACTCTCGGGTCAGGCAGCCAAGTGCTGGCAGGTTTTTGGGTACTGCTGTGTCCCTAATACGCATTAGGAGTCCCAAAGGTCAGCAAAACCTGGGGATAACTTCACTGTGTGCCAGCTCATGCTCTCCAGATCATGCCAGCCCAGCTGTGTCTGGGGCCATGGTGACCTGAGTGCTCTCTGAGAGATCTCCTGGCTCCCACAGCAGCAGTAAAACCACCCCAAGAGAGCTGAATTCCCCAAAACTGAGAGCTGAATCTCTAATCACTGCTTCAAAAACAACCTCCAAGCATGTGCTGGGCTGGATGCTGTGCCCGTGGGGCTGCACCTCCCACCCACAGCAGCTTCCCCACGAGTCCAGGACGGCAGATCCGAGCACCCCAGACCCCAAACCCCCCCGGAGCCCCCCGGTGCTCACCGTGCTGTGCCGAGCGCCAGTGGCGCCGGGCGGGGACAGTGCGGCCGTGCCCGTCATCCGTGCCACACCTGGGCAGGGCCATCTGATGGAGGGTGGGGGCATCCAGCACCCCGCTGGCAGGGAGGTGGGTCACACGCTGGAAATCCCTGCAGGAGGAATGGGGGTGTCAGCAGCCACATCCAGACCCGCCGTGGTGGGGTTTGGGGGTGTTGGTGCCAAGGATTGGGGGGATGTTGGTGCTGGGGGTTTGGGGATGTTTGTGCTGGAGGTTTGGGTGTGTTGGTGCCAAAGGTTGGGGGGATGTTTGTGCCAGAGGTGTGGGTATGTTTGTGCTGAGGGTTTGGGTATTTTTGTGCCAGGGTTTTGGGTATGTTTGTGCTGGGATTTGGGTATGTTGGTGCTGAGTGTTTGGGTATGTTGGTGGAAGGGTTTGGGTATGTTTGTGCTGGGGGTTTGGGGATGTTGGTGCCAGAGGTTTGGGTGTGTTTGTACTAGGTTTTTTGGAAGTGTGTGTGCCAGTGGTTTGGGTGTGTTTGTACCAGGTTTTTTGGATGTGTTTGTGCTGGGGGTTTTGGTATGTTGGTGCTGGGGTTTGAGTATGTTGGTGCCGGGGATTTGGGTATTTTTGTGCTGGGGATTTGGGGATGTTGGTGCCAGGGGTTTGGGTGTGTTGGTGCTGGGGGTTTGGGTATATTTGTGCCAAGGTATGGGTGTGTTTGTGCCAGAGGTGTGGGTATGTTGGTGCCAGGGTTTGGGTGTGTTGGTGCTGGGGGTTTGGGTGTGTTGGTGTTGGGGTTTGGGTGTGTTTGTGCTGGGGGTTTACCCAAGCCAGGATTGTCACCCCACAAGCTTCACACCCCAGCATCGGAACTTCACCCAGCTGGTAAAACAAGAAGGATTTGGCTCTGCAAGCACAGCTGACCTGTAAGTCACCTCCTAGCAGTGCAGAGAAGCCTAAAAATGGAGCCTAAAAATGCCTTTTCCCATTTTTAACCCCAGCTATTTGCCTTTCACATTTAATTCTGCATTTGGCTTTGCACAAGGTCAAGCCCAGGAAGCTCCCAGAGGTGATGTCCTTAGGAGAAGCCCAGGCAGGAGCTGGCAGCTCTCCCCCTCTGACATCTCCCAGCCCTCCCCAAGCTCGGCCTCCCACAGATTTTATCACAGGCGAGCTCCGGGCCATAAAAGGCGAATAAAGCAGTGAGAGCTGGGTGCCAGCAGCCAGAACCCAGCTGGGGAACCAGGCACGGACCTGCCTCTCCAAAAAACACTGGCTGTGCACTGTGAGACACAGAGCTCCAGCTGCAACAAGGCCCCTCTGGCTGTAAAAAACCCCCTCGGGGTGCTGGCAGCATCTCTGCAGATGGAGGTTGGAGGGCAGTGTTGGGTAAAAGGCTCAAGGTTGGAGGGCAGTGTTGGATGGATAAAAGGTTCCTACCTCAGTGCCTTGCTGAACTCAGCTGGGCTGTGTGTGCCGGCCCCCCGCTCCCTGAAATAGCCGTATTTCTCCAGGAAGAGCTGCAAGAAAAAGTGGAAAAGGTGTAACTCAGAGCACATGTTGGTTTGGGAAGATGGGGAAAGGAGATGAGTGCTGCAAACCCAAATTGCCCCCTTGTTTTGGTTTGCATTGGTTTGTTTGTCAGGAGAAGCCACAACACCTCTGTCCAGGCTTTACCATCCAGCCTGGACTTGCCATTCCCCAGCCACACTGGGATATCCTCACTTTTACAGCTGGTACCAGGAGCAAAACCCAGCAGCAGTTCAGGATGGGCAGCAGGGATGGAGGAACATCCTGAGCATGGAATGGCTTGGAGCCCTCTGAGAGTGTCTGGAGAGGAGA